TCCCCCCCTCCCTCCTCCCCCGCCCTCCCCCCCTTCCCACGGGCCCCGGGGCCGATACTGCGTCCGTGAACAAGGAATGGTAGCACTCGATCAACATCGTTCCCGGGTCTCGAACCGTTAAACGCCCGGATAAACGGCTGTCCGTTACGCTGGCGATATAGTTTCCGTCCGGAGACCAAGCTACCGCGTATTTGGCGTGGGGGTACAGCTGCCCCCCCCCCGCTTTCTCCTCTTCTCCCCTCTCCCCTATTCCGTCTTCTCCTACAGAACTTTCGTGGTTCCTTGCTGGGGCTGGCTCCGGGCGGGCACTCTCCGAGGAAGCGAGCAGGGCGCGACCATGGGAGGAGAGGAGGTTTTTAATCCTGTCATGATGATGCACACCGGGGAAGAGTCAGGGGCATGAATGCATGGAAGTACCATCTCGACAGCTTAATGAGAAGATCGATGCAGGAGAGTGCAAGATGGAAATGCCTCCTTATGTAGAGGACGGGGTGGCGGTCGTTTTCAGTGACAGGAAGCAACGGGGGACAGGGGGAAGAATTTCCCAGGAATACAACGCAGCAGCACAAGCACGCGAGGGAGAGACTTTACGTAAATTATCGATATATAAAACTTTAATGATACAGGGGGCTATAGCGTAAGTGGCGCGACAGGAAAGGTGGGATGATAACAAAAGGTATGACGTTCAGCAACGGGGCCAGAGGGATTCAATTATCCATAATTACGAGTTCACGCACACTCCATAAACACGGACATCGATGCATACATACCTACACATGTATGAGACTCAATTGTATCATGAAAGCTTTTACGTACCGCTTCGAAGCCAAAAAATCGTCCATTCCTGTGGCAGTCGCGACGTTCCCGCCGCTCCTGTCGTCGGAACTTTGTGGATTCGTTCCTCTTCCCATGACCTTGCCAAGCCCCAAAACGTGCCAACTCTACCCAGCCTGCACTGTATTATGCATACGTCATGCATTAAGATGCCGTATGTGTACGAAACTGAAGAGGTAATTCTATACCACCGGCCGCGACGCTAGGAGTGGGAGGCTCGACATGACCCGCTAAATTTTCTTAGCGAGCGGGGGAAAAACAAGGCGCACAAGAAAACCGGAAGCACACTGGCAATTTTAAGACAGCACTTTTTCCCAGAACCCTTCACAACAATCCTCCACGTATCCATGTATATTTGACATTGATTTACGCTGGTGGAAACCGAACTTGGGCCACAGTCAACTTTTAAAAGTAATACCCACGCAAAAGTCTGGAAGACGAGAAGGAAAGCTGATTGCTCTCCGAAGAAAAGACCATCGCATACTGGCTCCAGCTTCTTTATCTCACCAAGGGTGACAGAAGATATTTTTTCATTATTTTGTAGACATAGAATTAAAATACTATGAAGGAGGATAACTTTTTCCATTTTCTGTAATTTGTGTGCTCGGTGAAAGCAGAGTCCTGCCTCGTCACGTCCTGGTCGTGACAGCATGGAGGAAAATCCCAAGATACAATTCTGGCAGTTTTTGTCCCAAATCACCCATTTGACGTGCACTGCACGGTCGTCACGAAGATCGAAGAGTCGTGACACAATCGCGATGGAGTTCAAGGTCTAATTTGACGAAATTTCGAGCGGTGGAAATTTCCCGAGGAGCGGCATGTGCCCCGTCCTTGTATCCCACTTTCAGTCTTTACCCTCACCAACCAAGAGCCTAACCTTCATCCGTAATGTGACCGTTGCTCGTGCCGCTTGACGATGCAGGGATGTCTAAACAGGCGACCTGGAGGTGGTCGACTGCCGGTATCACCAATGCAGTGAATTTGCGATATTCGGGTCGGCGAGTTATGTAACCCACACGGAAAGCAGCTCTCTGCCCTGTATGAAATACCGATCTCTTCGTGTCCGCGTACAATGCCCGACATATCCCAGTCTTTCGCGGGCATGTCGAAGGAAAGTGTCATATGGCAGACCTGTATTGTACTCCATACACCGTGGACTGTCACCGGGACAGAATTGCATAGATGATTTGAACATTCAGGTTGCAAATTTCTGACACCGCGCGTGCTGTCGTAAATGATCGGACAAAGCCCGTTCAGTCGGGCTTAAAGCTGCAAAGCGGTAACTACCAAATTGGAGCCTGCCACTCACGTCTTCTTTCCTTTCCAAGTGAAATCTTGTGATTAAATTCGTATGAGTGGTCGGCTCTGTCGCTTTGGATATTTTTTTCTCGGATATGTTCTCTCTATAGGGGCATAGTCGACTGTTCCAGCCGCCGGAAGTGCTCTTGCGCTGACGCTTGTGATACACTGCGTGTCCTTCTGTGGACGCCGGTCGTCTCGGCAGCCGAATGGGAAGCGCTTAACTTGTGGGCATGCTTACACGAGTCGTGGAGCCTTCATTTAGAATAAAAGTCCATAAAATCGCTAATTGCTTTGTGGGTGTCCGTTCTTTCGGAGTAACCAACGGGAATTCTGTCTTGCCCTCAACAAGGACACCTCGCGTTTTTTCCCCCGATACCCGGGAGACATGTCCACATCCCAGAGCCACATAAATCATTCTTGTGCTCAGTTTATGCATAGCTGTAGGTTTGATTCACGAATGTCTCACATATTATACATCTTCATGGGTAAATTTAGTTCTTTTCGGGAAATTTCGTGTGGGTTGTTTCGCCCTTGGGAGACCATCCGGCTCATGTGTTCACGTATATGTATGTTAACTAATATGTCTCACCCTGTAACTCACCGTCAACATCCATGTTATCATCCCTTACCCTCTGCCCCCTTTAGTATGTTCGACGCAGGCCTTGCTGACGAGTTGGGTAAACGAGGAGACCCGTTTTTAACCGCCGGAGCTCCCGGACCGCAACCTATTGAGAAAGAGATCCATTATGCATTTGCGCCTGAGCTGAGAACGGAATTGGGTGGTTGTAATCACAGATTCGCCGGCCATGGGAACGACACAGTCAGCAGCGGGGACCACGGCCGGGATGGTTCACGGAGTAAAGACATGGATGCTTTCCTTCTGGTGCCGATGCCTGAGGACCAGATTCTTCCCGTTCCCCGGATTTCTCACGACTCCCGCCTCGACGATGGGAACAGCTCCTCGGCCTCTTCTCCCGCGCGTCCCGCTTCTATCCAGATTTCCTCTTGTCCCCTGGTGCGGTTGCCACACTCTCCTGCCCTACCCCCCTCCTTTCGTCTTGCCGCAGGACACGTCCTTCGTTCCGCGGTGACGTCTCACGCCTACAGGATCATTCGAAGCCTCATTCCCGCCTCCTCCCATAGCCCCTACCGACCTCCAACTGCCCTCTATCTTGCTACCCCCTTCCCGTCGAAACCTCTGTCCTTGGGGCCGAGACGAAGCGGGACATATCCCTCCTGCCAAACGGGGGACCCGGACATGAGCCGCCTTTCGCAGTCGAAATGCGTGGTCATCAAGGTGGGAATCTGTTTGGAATGTCGCACCTTATTCAAGCAGGAACAAATCAGAAATTTCAAGCATTTGACCCTTCTCTTCCTTCTCCCTCTTCTTTTTCTTCCCGTGGATTTCCATGGCGTAGGTAACAATCCACGGTCCCTCTTGGCCTCATTTACTCCCTTCCGACCCGCCACTCGGAGAGTTGGCAGCTGCTCACATACTAAGAAGTTACAGCCACGGCCACAATGGCAATCCCAGCAGCCTTGGCCCTGGCCGAAGCACTGGGAGCTGTCACGATCCATCCTCTTCCCATGTAATTCCACTCTTGGATGCGCTCGCTGACGACGACTGTGTGTACCTCGTCTACCCGTATGCCTCCGGTGGGGACCTCTTTGACTTCGTGACCAAGTCGGAGGAAGGGTTGTCAGAAGAGACCGCGCGGGCATTTTTCACCGACATGGTCGGGGGTTTACGGTACTTGAAATCCAAGGGCTTGGCCCATGGGGATGTCAGCTTGGAGAACGTGGTGCTGTGGGAACAGGAGGAAGCGGTGGAAGGAGGGAGCGCAGGGGGGGAGAAGGAAGAAGAAGGGCGGCCGCGGAAACACCGCCCGGTCTGTCGTTTAACAGACTTGGAAATGGCGCGAAGCCTTTCCAACGCTTCGGGCCCATCTGTGGCCCCCTTGGGAAGACGGACGGTCGGGGGAAAGAAAGGATACGTTGCGCCCGAATGTATATTTGGCACCGTGGTGGACTGGGAAGCGGCGGATGTATGGAGCCTGGGCGTCTCTCTGTACACCATGTTGACGCGCCATCCCCTCTACACGGACCCAGAGGATTCGGGCTTTGAATTGCTCTGTCGAGGAGAAGCCCGGCGGATGATGGAATTTTACAGAGACGTGTACAGCTTGGAGATCTCGGAGGCTGCCGTGGACCTATTGGCGTGGATGTTGGCGCCAAATCCAGCGGGACGACCGCGCCTGGAGGAAGTGCTTGAGCATGCCTGGCTAGATGGAGGAAGGGGGGGGGGCGCTTGGCTCGACCGAAGGAGGAGGATCCTCTGGAGCTATTAACGTTCATAGGGCGTGTGCGAACGAGGAGATGGATCCGCTATGGGAAGGAATGCTAGGTCGACGGCCGACGGCGGACAAGGCTATGGAGGAGGCACACTTGGATGTTGTTTTGGAGAAAACTCTCACCGATGATACGATGGAAAAGACCCTCCCTGGCACGCCCTCCCTCACATGGGACTTGTCTTCTGCGTGGACGCCTGCGACCACCCCCGGCAGCATTGGAAGCATTTACACTAGCAGCAGCAGGAGCAACAGCAGCAGTGACAACCATGGTTGCGAGAGTGATCACACTATCAGAAGCAAAGATGACGTGGCAAATAACATTTTTACACCTGTGTTAATTTCAAATTACGAAGAACTTGCCATGGGGCAGTAGTGTCACAGGTAGCAGCAGCACTACGCGCATGCCGAGTGGTAGCTCACGACGCGGAATACATGGACACTAACATTGCCATTAATTTGAGGGTTACAGTAGCAATGTATCGGGCAAAAGCAGCAGTCAAAACGGCACCAGTTGCGGTAATGACACCTAGACAGGTCGGGATCAAGAAGTGGGCGATACAAAAAAAGATGTATGATTTTTGAACTTTGCAGCTGCGTGGCGCGGGGTCGTGAGGATAGGGTAAAGATCGGTGTCTACGGAAAAATAACAACAGAGCTGGGGAGAGGGAGTCGATGCAAGGCACTCACGAAACGGCTTCTGCTTTTATTTATCAACAGAAGCTTTAAAAGAGATAAAAGAGATAAGGTCGAGGTGGGGGGTTAATGTTTCAACGGTACACAGAATGAGACAAGGGAGGGAAGAGATAAATCTACGGAGAGACTTGTATTGACGTGCCGAATCGTCTCGCTCGTGGAGCATGGCAGTATAATTATAAATCATGCGCAGAGAAGTGCAAAGAACCATCGCCTCTCCTACATGTGCACGTAAATGAATGATGAACCTCGATACTCATGTTCGGGACGAAGATGAGAAAGTTAAGCTAGTAGCAGTGGGACTCTGCGACACAATGACGCCTGCAATGCTCAGGCATCAGGGCTTGCGGGGGAAAATGACTGGAACATGCTCGGCCGCTCTATGCTCAACACGTTCTGAGTAAAGATGTGATTGTGGGCCAAAGAGAAAAGGTAGACGAGTATAAATAGGGGAAGGAGCAAAAAATGATGGAACGGTATTGAGCACCTGCAAGCGATAAATTTGAATGGGCTATGAGTTCGCATGAGACGAGATTTGAATGATGCCATTCTAGTGTAGTCGACGGAAGCGATTGCAGGTGGCAGCACACGAAAATGTTCATGGTTCAGCACTGAAACAAAACCAGGGGGATAGCACCCCTGAGGTGGAGAAGCTTTTACTTAAAATAAGCCATCGGCTTTGCTGGTAATTTATGGGCTGGGGTGTGCGGGCATGGAAAGAAAAAATGATTTGGAGAACGGAACACTGTTCTGCGTTTCGTACTATGTTACGTATGTTACAAAGAATCTCAATTCGAAATGGGACTACAGGTCCCAAATATTTTTCTTGCATCATCGGGAACAGCCAATCGCGTTCTCCAGGTATCGTAGCTCGTGAGAGAGAAGAAGGCATCGTTGCACGTCCGACAATGCGAGGAGCACGAAGGATTCATTGCCCCATATACTCCAGACATTTCTACGCTTCAACAACAATGACTTAAAGAAGTGTTAGAAGCGAAAGGAGAAAAATTATATATAGATAATATACCATGAAAGTATAAATTCATCTCAACTAAAGGAAAGAAAACATGATGAATGCCTCTTTTGCATGTACCGTGTTTAAATTCCCTTTTTTATGTCGATCAATGCTATGATATCCGAGCTCGCCGGCGAGGTATCATACGTCACACCCCATAACGTGACCCCCGAAGAAGGCGATGATCACGGAAAACGCCTATAAAAGTAATGCTGCCTTCGATCGGTATTTCAAAGTCTTCCGCTGAGTTTACTGGAGATATGGCATCATTCCATACGCAACTTCTTTTTGGATGTCTCGCTGCTTGTCGTGATCTTGCTGGAAACACTATACACGTGCTCCCTTGGTCCAAGTTCTCGATTCAACATTTCTTTCCACTTGCATGACAACTCCTGTGAACAAGTGGTAAAAGGCTTATAAACTAGACTATACACCGCCAGATTCCCTGCTGGCAAGCAGGCAGACAGGGTGTCGGCCTCTGTGAAAGGAATTTTAGCGTTTATGAGGATAGCGGTACATGGTGGGGAGGTGCTCCGGCCAAGGAAAAAAGTAATAGAAAAAAACAAGGGAGGAGAGAGTTAAAGGAAGGGGAGAGAGGGGAGGGGCGAAAGGTGGTTTGGGAAGGCTTTTCAAAGGACATGACGGGAGGAAGCCTGCAGAAAGCACGTGGGACAGGAGCGGAATCTTATGTCAACCTCCCCCCCGCGAATCAAAAGACACCAACCCCATCCATGAATCAAAATTGCGTGCAAGCGCGAAGCACTTTTGTTTACTCTCCATGTTCCTCATTCATTCACGCCGGGGGGGAAACTATATTTTTCGTTTCCGCGTCCTGTCGGTGCTACGTGTCACGCCGCCCCACTCTCACAGTCGGGGCGGTGTGCGTGCACCTGGGCCGGCTGGAGTGTTCAGTCAACTGCCCTCTTTACCAGCAGAGATCCCTCTTCAGGGTTGTTGACGCATTCTTCGGACATGTGTCGCACACATATTTTCTCAGATACGTCCTTTCTCTTGATTACGCCTCACGACTTTGGGCTCTTTCCACGCACTCAATGCCTCCTAGCCAGGCCTTCTATGGTCACCCTCATATAATTCCTACCTCCCACAATGTGACAATCTTGGTTCGTTTGCCTTTCTTTCCCCTTTCGTCTTTTTTATCGAACTTGGAATTTCGGCAGCATTGCTACCCTCTCTCCCTCTTCTCTTCTCTTCGTATTTCTCTTTGGATGGTTTTTGTCATGATTCGACGCTTCCTATCGCCTTGTCTCACAAGTTCGTGCGAGCAACCATTCCTTTTTTCGAACCTTTATGACCGTAAAAGTCATCTCCGGCTGGTCTGATGACTCCCTACCGCCTTCTCCTCCTAGGCCAACCGACTTCTCTTTAATCTTTCCTCCCATCTCTTCCATCTGCAGCGACAATGGACTGACATTGCTGCGGCTGCTTTTTTTTCGCAGCGACAATGGACTGACATTGCTGCGGCTGCTTTTTTTTCGCTCCATGTCACAGGTTTCTGACGTAAAGTAAGTAATGCTTGCCGCCCGGGCTGGAGATGTGTAGGGCACGGTTTGCTCTTGCTGGTCTCGCGACAATGTACTGACATTGCTGCTGCTGCTGCCGTCTGCGTCGTGCACAGCATTTATAATAATTGTAGTAATAAATAAGGTTCCGCTTCTGTTCTTGGAGCTGACACTCTTCCGGGATCGTGTATTGCTTACAATATTTCACATAGCAGTCTTCGCCGCTCACGCTGACCGTTCGCATTCTCTGTCCTACGTTCCTCTAGGCATGGTAGGGGCTGGATGCGTTGTCTGTTTGGCTGTTCTAGATATTGGGGACCCCAGTTTTCGAAAGACGACCAGAACCAAATTACCCGGGACTCTACCCGAGACTCTGGCGGAGTTAAGGCCTCCTACACCGAAAATGACAGGGCTGGCAGCGGCCTTGGAACTCTTTCCCCCTGCCGTCCCACGGAACCAGCTTGGCTTCCTCGCCTCGGCAATTTTCGCGCCATTTTTCCCCCTCCTCTTGCCTCCTGTACCTATCGCCTTTTGCCAGTCGGACGTTCCTTCCACTCAGGAAGTCCGTGCACTGCTGCCCTTCCTTTCCTCCCTCTGTGCGTCTGAGCTCGTTACCGGCCTTCCAGGCACCGAAAGGAGGAAGCCGTAAAGGCCGTCGACGGGATGTGTCGGGCGGCGTGGGGAGGGACGGAACCGTGATGGGTAGATTGAGGAAAGGCAGGCGAGGCCGGGAAGGAGGAGAGGAGGGAAGGCCGGAGATCCAGAGACCGGCGGGGCGTGGCCAGGGTCGAAGGTGAGGCGGCGGTGCCGGCGCGGGAGGAGGGAGGGGGGGAACATAGGTTGTCACACTCCTGTAGGGTGTGGTAGGCAGGGTGATCGGAAGAGGCCGGGAAATCCATGAAAGCATCCCACCGCTGTCGCCCTGCTTGGCTCGGGCTGCACCCGTCGACCTGGGTGATAAGGGACGGAGGTGCCTGCCCGCATCGCCCGCGGGGCTCGGCGCTATCTTGGCTTCTCCCTCCCCCTCCCAGCACACGGGCGTTCCCTGCGCCGCCTGGTGGGATTCCAGGGGTAACGAGGTGGCGGGGAAAGGGGAGGAAGGGAAGGAGAAAGGGGCCGGGGAGGTGGTGGTCGCCGCCGAGTCCCACAAAGGATCGGTAGGACACGGGCAGGCCGGCAGGTCCAGGGTCGGGGGAAGGACAGAGAGGGGAAGTGCCGGGGCCCCTCCCTCCTTCTCGCCCCGTGCGGGGAGCGAGGGCGGGGAGAAAGGCGAGGCAGCCCCGGTGAGGGTGTCCATGCCGGCTTCGCTGCCCGAAAAACCCCGAGCAGGGTCGGGACGAGACGGAGAACGCGTTGGGGAAAGAGAGGAAAGCGGCGATGCCAGAGGCCTCGACCACAAGGGTTGATCGACCCGCCCTCCTTCTTTCCCTCTTTCCCGCCCTGCCTCGGTCCTTTCCTGTCCGTCCTCCGCCGTGCTCTGTCCAAGGGGTTGAAGGCAGATGCGACGCCGCCCCACGGAGGCGGTGTCGTGGTGCTGGCAAAGCCTTTCCCGAGGAAGCCTCGCCGTCCTGCAGCGTGCACCCCGCATCCTCCGGGTATGGTCGGGGACGAGGTGGCCCTGCTCCTGATCTCCGGTGCGAGAAGCCGCCGTGTCCCAAGAGCCTGCTCCCTCGACCGCCACGGCGTCATTCTCCAACACCTGCCTATTCCCTTCCATCTCCTCCTCCTTCCCCTCAGCCGACCCCGCGAGCGGCGACCACCTTCCTGCCTCTCCCTCCTCTGCCCCCTCCTCCAGACCAAGCCGGGCTCCCTGCGGTAGCTGGTACGACAGGGACTTTTCCGGCGTCGGCTCCTGCATGACCCAGGAGTGTGCCATGATCTCTTGGAGGGTTGGTCGGGCCGCCGGGTTCGCATCGAGCATGGCGATGACGAGGGAGAGGGCTCCCGCGGGCAGATCGATGCCATATTCCCGAGCATAATGTCCCAGGACCTCGGCAATCATCCCGTGGCCCAGCAAGTTGAAGCAGGGATCCTCCGGGTCGGCGTAGAGGGGCCGGCCGGTCAAGAGGATGACGAGGCAAATGCCCAAAGACCACACGTCCGAAGCCCCCCAGTCCCGCAGAGTGCCACGGACGATTTCAGGCGAGACATAGCCCGGTTTCCCCCCCGCGATCGTCAGGAAAGGGTTCGAGAGGGCACGGGCCGGGGGGGAGCCGTCCAGTGGGGTCCAGGAAGGGGCGGAGGTACCGATGGAGGAGGAGAAAGGGGAGGGGACGGAAGGACTCGAAGCTTCAAACGCCTGGCCCCAGCTCGACCCGCTTTCCCCGTACTCCACCTCTATCGCCGCCTCCTCCTGCTCCTCCTCCTCTTCCTCCTCCGCCTCCTCCAAATGCCGGGCCATTTCCAAATCGATGAGGTGACATGTCGGCCCTTCCCTCTCCCCGTCGTAGGACAGCATCACGTTCTCCAAACTGACGTCCCCGTGGCTGATCCCCCGCCCGTGCAAGTCCTGCAACGCCCTCGCCATGCCCCTAAAGATCCCTCGCGCCTTGGCTTCCCCGACCCCGTGCGGGTGCTGGGCCACGTAGTCGAAGAGTTCGCCCCCGTTCGCGTAGGGAAAGACGAGGTACAAGTAGTCCGGGTCGGCCCATGCCTCCATCAAGGGGATGACACCGACAGGACCCTTCTGCGCCTTCTCGTCTCCCCGGCCGGGCAGAAGGGAAGAGGAGGCCAGGTGGAGGTGGGCTGCCAGCTCTCCCATGGGCTTGCCTTTCCCCAAGGAGGCTTGGACTGCCGATTGATGAATCACCTGGAGCGAGACGAAAGAGGAGGGAAGGGAGGAGTAAGGGGGAGGAGGAAGGAAGGGTAAAGAGCAAAGAAAGGGCGTGTGGAGCGTGGGTTTTGGGTCCTGTCCGGGGCGGGCCTAGTCTGAGACAAGGCAGATACTATTGAAGGTAGAGGAGATAGGAGGGAGGCAGGAAAGAAAGGCAAGAGGGAGGAAAGAAGAAGTAAAGATATGGAGGGAGGGACATACCTTGACCACAACTCTATCATCTTCGACATGTGGCTGGGTAGGGAAGGCGGGGATCGATGCAGTGCCGTGCTCGGGCGTGGCCAAGACCACATAATTCGGATATTTACAGTGGTTTATCAGGGAAACAAACCGGTAGCCACGCCCAGTGATGGGATTTCTTAGAACGGTAGGCACGGGGCCTGAGAATGCGGCCCGTCCCGGCTGGAACACCTCTTCGTGGAAGGACGAAGGGAGAAGGGGCTTCCCAAAGAAGGAATAGCGAGGATGTGGGGCAGGAGCATGCCGGGACACATCACTTCTGTGCTCAGGCAGAGAAGGACATGAAGAAGACGACGATAAAGGTCGATACTGTAGGCATGAACTTTCTCGGCGGCGCCTTGACACCTGCTCCTGTTGCGCTTGGAGCTTTTGGGCCCTGGCCATGTCATGGAGGAGGGACGACAGCTTTCGGATCTGCACATCGGTCATAGTGCTGTGTGGACAATATTGTGGGCGTGACGTAAGTGAGAGCGCATCGACCAATCTATAATTTTTGCCAGAAAGCAGCTAGCTTGCAGGTACTTTCCTTCTATCCCCCGGGTGTCGCTGAATGTACATAGAGAAGAGGACATACTCAGAAACGGGGCGAGGCGGGGGCAGGAAAATGACTAAGGGTGCCAAGCCGGAACAGTAAGCGATGAAAGCGCTGGCGCCGAGCTTGTAGAAGCGCTCACGACGTTATCGACGCAAAACAAAGTACGCAAAGGCTGTGACATATGGCTTTTCTTCTCTCAAGGCTCTCCTGTTTCTCTCGTCCTACGTACGTCTGCGTACTTTGTAGTTGAGGTCTCGGAGAGTCCATCTTAAGAGTATGGAGAAGAAGACAGGTCTGCCTTCGGCTGAGGAGGGTCCAGCCGAGGCTCTATTTCTTTTTTTGGTAATTTATTCCTAAATTGCAGATCTTTAAGCATGATGATGCAGCGTAGTCACACAATATATTAAAAGCGATATTTTTGTTAAAACGGCATGTTTTCTGGTGGCAAATTGCCTCTTAAATCCTCAAAAAACCAGCGGGGTATATTATCTCTCGTGAAGATGCAGCCCTACTCTTGACCGGACATTGCAGGCACCCGCAGAAAAGATTTTCCGCCGCCAAAAAACATCCCAAAAACCGAACGTTTATGTCGACAGGACGTACATTAAGTAAGCGAGGTGCCTAGTACAATTTTGGAATCACCCATCCATCATGTAATTTTTCCTGGGGAATCTGTCCCCCGGACATTGCCTTGACATACCATCTGCCAGCGTTCGACCCCGTGCCGAAAAAAGAAAACATACACTCTCCTTACGAGAAGATACAATAGGCCCGGCGGCACGAAGGTTTTGGTGAAGCCTGTACACGACATGGCCTCCGAGACCATTATGATCTTTTTCAGGATTCAATGCGTGCGCAGTGTTACGCATTTATGTTTTCCCCCTTGTTCTACGGTAACGGTGGCGTGACTCAAATCATAAAAAGAAGGCAGGCGCCGGTCCGTCACTGTCAACATGCTCATCAGAGGAGAAATATGACTTGGATGCCATCATCATGGATATGATTAGCTGACCTTCCCTACTGTCAAATTCTACATGGATGTGGATCATCAACATTTCTATTTATTTTTAGAAAATAAAGTGGTCAACGAGACGACGTCCTTATCGAGCACACTGCTCCCCTTTTTTGTTTCGGAACAACCATTTTACGGATACAACATCGTTCGGAGACTTGGCATTATTACTTATCTCTTGAAAACTCTATAATTTTGATGAGATGTCGACGGCCGCGCGTGCATAGCTGACTGCAGATGCTTTCCATCCTGTAGAGTTTCCTTCACTAGAGCTGTGGCAGTCGCATGATACGAGCTTTCGCAAGACCTGAAATGCGCTCACAAATGGGACCCCCCCCCCCTCTTTTCGAGTGGAAAACTGAGAGTGAGAGAGACACGAAATTCAGTTTAGAAGCATTCGAAAACTAAGCACCTGAATCATCACCCGTCCCACGGTGGCCTGCCCCGACTATAGATCGGGCAGATCGGAACGACTGTCCTTCTCCCCACCATGAGCGCATGTGCGGAAAAGGCAACCCTTGCCAAAGACAAGCACTATACGTAAGAATCGAGCATTCCTTGACGAAACGCCGCAGTCAGTACCTCTTTCGCTCTGCTGGCAAGCAAATGTGCCTTCCCTTTGTGGCTATAGATGTAGTCACCCAGCAATACCCCTTCCTCCTCCCCTTCCTCCTCCCCGTCCTCCTCCCCGTCCTCCCCCTCCTCTTGCCCTTCGTCCATCTTCTTCAGTTTGTCTTTTTCCTCCTCCTCCCTTCTTTCTACTACCTCGTTCCCTCCATCCCTTCGTCTTCTCCCCTTCGCCCCCATCTCCTCCACCACGCGCTGCAACGGAAACCGTTTCATGTCGCAGGTTTCTCGCCACGCCCGGGGCAAGCCGGGCTTTTTTCGGGCCCGTTGAAAGACCCCGACGCTGGCTTCTTCTTTGGCCACCGCCAACACGTAGCACCGGTACCGGTGAAAGATCCCTATGTCGACAAAAGGACAAGTAACCAGCCTGACAGGCGCCACTCTTACCGTCCCAGCCGTCTCCTCCTCCAGCTCCCGGGCTGCCACGGCCGCAATCGCCTCTCTGTCCTCACTGTCTGGCTCTGGGTGTGGGCCCGACCGACCGCCCATCTCGCCCCATTCCCGCCCGGATACCCCGTTCCTCCCTTCCTCTGCCACCAAGACGAGGTCGAACTCGTCGGGGCAATGGGAAGGAGACAACAGCAAGACTCCCGCCCCGACCACACCTTGCCCCTCTTGCCCCCCCCCGCATTTTTCACACCCTTTGCACCGCCATGCCCGTGGGTGTCCCCACTGGCAGCTTCCATTTTGACAATCTTCTCCTTCCTGGCACATCACATGCTGGTATCTACACGCGTCCTTCCCGTCCTTTGCTTGGTAAGGGCACCGGCCCGTCAAGCGGAGGCGTCGACAGGGTTTGGACCATTCACGCTTGTCTTCCCATGCACGCGGGTGGCCTTTTCGACAATGCTGGTAGTCGAGGCAATCTATTCCATGGGGGCACGCTTCATGAAGGAAGGAGCATGTATAGGGCGCGGGCCCCAGACGGGTGCACCGGCCGAAGCGGAAATACGAGCAATGGCGCCACGAAGACGAATTTTGGGAGATAATAGGCACTGAGGATAGGGTGGAGGGGCTGAAGGGATGCAGGGATGTCGATGTACGTGAAGGAGAGAAATCTGGACCGTCTTGTCCATGAGGGCGAAGCGCGTTTGCAATTTTTTTCTCGCATCCTCCCTCTCCTTCGTCCTCCGGACGCCGCCTCTTTCCATGTGGGGAGCTGCTACTGATATGAGTGCCATTCCCGTTACTCATGGCGACCACAATTCTTGATCTTACATAACGCTACCTTTACTGTTCTCGGTTGTGGGATACAAGCACATCACAATTTAGCACGTGAACAATAAATACAAACCCCTCTTCTCCCGAACAATTCGAGATATTGGCCTTGATTATTGTTCCTTCAGTCAATCAAATGACTGGTGCACACTGGTAACCCCGGAAATCGTAAGTATACACCCTCTCTAATAGCCACAAGGGCGGATGACGCCATGCTTCAACATGCATCCTGAAAATAACCAAGACGTCTAAAACAGACGCTTCGCGACCGCAAGCAAAACAATATCTTATCTTTCAATACCTATGTATCATCATTGGTACCGTCTTCATTCATGAAATGAACCTCCCCGCGCTTAGGTATCCCAACGAAGGAAGAGTCGCCGTCCTCATTCGATCTTAGGACGGTAAATGTTTTCTTATTTTTTCCTCCTTGTACTTTTCAGGTTTGGGTCCCACCAATGCATTTAAATGAGCCTCCTGTGCTCGTTGAGCAGATCTAATTCGGGTCCCGCTTCACCTCTGTCATCCTGCATCCATGACCACCCGGAGGCACAGCAAGAAAGGCAGCGGCGAACGTGCTGCCAAGAGCGGCCCGATGAAGTACAAAGACACCCCCAAAATCTCAAAAGATCGGATCAAACATGTTCAGCAGTGTGTATCATTTTTAAATGCCCTGGAATTGGGTCGTGTTGGACTCACCTGTCGCGCTTTGCATCTGGCAGCGACGGAATGCTTACGGTACGGGGCAGTGGGGACACTTGAAGGACAATGGGCACGACCCCCGTCCCCATTCCTTTGAATCCGTCAAAAAACCATGTCTGACATCATTCCCTCTCCTCAATTTTTTCTTCGTACCACAATTCACAACCCTGGCCTGCCTGGATGCCCCCGGCGCTCTCTCTTTAGCTTGCTACAAACCGACATCATACGCGGCCAGTCGCCCATGCACACGCCGTTACCTTGCGTCCCACCCCCACCTTCCTCGGGCCTTCCACCCCTTCCCCTCCTTCCGTCCACCTTCCGATGGGTGGATTCCGTGGTGCTGCCGTCGGGAACTCACAACCGGCGCCTGCACCGCCGGGGGGGGAGGGCTGGGAGCGCGGGGAAGGGTCAGACGCAGGGGGCGGAAGCGGCGGAGGGGTGTGGCTGCGATGGAGAGAGCAGGAACAGCGCAGCCCTGTCTTCGCCCTCGTCTTTTCCCCTGGTCTGTTGCCATGATGCTTCCTGTCCCTGTTACCGGACTGCCCACAGGATCGCCCTTGGCGACGCCCCCCCCCCGGTGATTACAGCGGCAGCAACGCTGGCAAAGCCAGCATCGAGAGTATTCATAGTCCCAGTACCAGGCCAAAGAGCGACCAGGACCAGAGCAAGGGTGACTCCACCACTGCCACCGATACGCACACCATCGACGACGAAAAAGGCAGCAACAACATCGACGCCACGCCCGACAATAATGACGTGGTCCGTCACCGCATGCCCAGCAACAGCAGTAACCCCGTGGCAGGTCAAGATGCTGACCGGCCCCTTTCCCCCACATCATCCCCATCTTCTTCAACCTCTTCCTCCTTCAAATTTGAATTTGAATGCTCTTCCTCCTGCCGTTGCCTACCCGACCAGTGCCAGCTTCGGCCCACCCAAGCGAGTGCTCGACTTCCTCTCTCCCTCGGCTATCTCCCCAAGAAGGGTTGGGGCGTCTTTTTCTCCCCGCCTCCGTCCTGCCCTCCCGCCCGCCCTCCCTCCCTCCCTCCTCACACCTTCGTTGCCGAATATACCGGGGAGCTGATCAGCACCGTGGAGGCCCGTCGCCGTCTCGCGATCTACGACGAGGTATCCGCCCTTTCTTCCCTCCCTTCCTCCCTCCCTTCCTCCCTCCCTCCCTCCCCGGGGATTGGAAAGCGCCTTCCCCCCGGCAGGGTGCACGCACGCCGCGGAACATGTCAAACACGCGCAGGGCCACGCCCAGGCAAATGCGGCGCCGGCAGAAGTCCCCATCCTGGGCCCATGCCCCTCGCAGGAAGGGGACAAAGAGGAAAGACGGGGAGGACAAGTGCACGCTGGCCCCCGTCCTCATTACCTGCTGACTCTCCTGGAGGAAGGCGACGATTTCTACCTGCGCACCTCCCTGGACGCCACGCGTTGTGGGAACGTCTCTCGTTTCTTCAACCACTCGTGCGACCCGAATATGCACGTGGTCTGTGTTCGGAACGGAGGCCTGCTCCCTCGCCTCTGTTTTTTCACGCAACGGCGTGTGCATGCGGGCGACGAGCTGACGTTTGCGTACGGGGAGAGGGAGGAGAACCACGCTTCGAAGGGAGGAGTCAAGGTTGAAAGTGGAGCTCGCTGTGGCCGGTCATGTGCAAAGGGGACCATATTGCCCCAATCACAGTCGGGCAGGCCGTGCTGGTGTGGTTCGGAGAAGTGTGTGGGAAATTTGCCGTATCAACCAGGGCTGTAAATGTTGCCAAGGACATGTGTGTTTTAAAGTAAAACACGTCGAGGTCTACGCTAGCCGAGCGTACTTGTTTTTTGGGGGGTCTTATTCTTTTTTCGACTTGTCATGGAACTGGTTGTAAAAATTGCCTGCGGCTCGTTTCCTTTCGGTCGGTTATGTCGTTCTATCGCAAAAAAGGCACCGTGATCGAAGTGCTTGCACGCATGACAGCATCATACGTATACAGACTGTGTATAAAGATCAAACGGCATACCGAACCGCATGGCAAAATAAGAAAATATGACATCAACTAGATAGGTTGCGTCTCTGCAGTGTCCTGTGCACTTTTGCAACACACCACGTGGAGGTTGCGTCTCTACAGTGTCCTGTGCACTTTTGTAACACACCACGTGGACATAATGTTGACACGCCTGCTTATAAGAGTCTACCAAAATAAACAGATGTAAAATATTTTCCAATCTCTTTCCCCCCCCTGTGGCCTTGCCGGAAATGTTCTTATCTTCTTCAGATCAAAAGCTTTTCGATTCATCGATTTGCGGCACGTTTTTTTCTCCACATCGTCCATAGCGGCCACTCCCGCTCACGGGGCAGCGGATTCCGCTGCTACTGTGAAACGATCACAGTCTCTATCGTTCCGACAAATAAAAAAGAAAATTCGTAATCGATTCAAAGGCAAAAGGGATCGTCTGACAGGATATATGAGCGATTGGAGATGTGAACTCCTCCTACAAGTCGTGTCTCACAGCGATGTAAAGGGAGAACGTCGTTGATGCCTCCTCTGCACAAAAGTGCTAAGGACAGGGTGACATAGCCGGCGACCACACGATCAGCCCGCTTCATGTCGCGCTCCCACCTCCTCGTGACATGGTGTAACAGAACTGATCCGATCAGTGGTGCAAAAAAGGGATCATGGGCGCCATACAATGCGGGTGATCACTGTACAACTTCGCTGTTTGATACGCTGCACATTAGTCCTCAGCCCCGACCCCCTGAAGTCACATATAACGCCGAGAACATGCAGTCATATCCCTGGACGACGGTAGCAACCGTGCCATGTGTGAGCCATGAGAAGACCCTACGCGAGAAGACATGCCACGTACCACCGCAGGAGAGGTGCCGAAGGTGCCGAGAACCTTGAAGGTGTGCTAGGCTCATGCGTACTTCTCGTGCTTTCACCGAATCTCGGCCGTATAAGACACAAAGCAACGGAAACTCTCGCTAAGCATCCAGATTTGCAGCCAAACTTTTCAGAACCTGTCGCTTTTTACAAACACGAAGACATGCTGGCGTGAAAAGCGCTGAGAAGATAGCGGCAAAGGCGGAAGTTTCGCTCAGAGAAAGGGGGACTCTCAGGTTCCGATCAGAGTGCATGTGCCGAGAGGAGAAAAGAACACGTACGCATGGTTTTCTCTAAGCTTATTTTTGCTTTTAACTCACTGATTGGACACTTGCTGCTTCATTTGCCACTCCCACTACGACCACGATGACCAAATGGTTCCTGGCGTGGGTGAACCCTGACAATAGGGCCACGGTCTTTTTCCTTGGCGGATTTGCCTTCGGCCGGGCAATGGAAAGAGTGTCTCTGGGAGGCTTTCGGCAAGTTCTCTTCCGAGAAAACCTTGACATGCTTTTCTCATACAGGTGGAGCATGTAACCAACACGCACGTGTTTCTCTGAAGCACTTTCTTCTCTGTGCGACAGGTGTGGGGCATGTAGGCAACCTAATATCCTACCCTAGGCGGATATCTCGCATTTCCAGCGTTTTTCACTCCTCCTTACCATATTGAGCGACAAAGCAAAGCACTCGCTGCCTCGCCTGCCTCGATTTTTGATATGCAATGGCCCTCAACACTCGTTCGCACGCGTGCGCGGCCTTCCCTTTCTTTCGTTGGGGGGTTGCCGGCGTACCTTGTTAGATTTTGACACCCAATTCCCTACAAATGACCACCATAATGCTTTTTATGTGAACGTAACCGTTGGGCACATTTTATGCGTGAGGTTGCAATGTCTCCTGGAGTGTACGTCCCAAAACTCAGGTCCTTTCCCCCCCGGTTACCCTGTAACTCAACACACGCACTCATCCTTCTGTATATTCACCTTTTCATTTTACAGAAACCCAACAAAGATAAAAAAATGTACGCCACGCACACCCACCACTTTTTCCGGCGTGAGGAGGACGGTATGGTCCGTTCCACGGTGAAGCGTGTGGATGGTGTCAGCCTGCAAGGACACCTCCATGCCTTGAACAATGAAGGTTTCCATGAGGATGTAAAGCGCACAACCAGACACATACAATGCGCGTCAAACCTTGTCGAAGCCTTGAAGACGACAAAGAAGAGCAGGAGAAGTGGCCGTTACCCCCCCCAGACCGATGAAGGCCTCACCATCGGCAGCAGCAATAACTTCGACAGGAGGGAAGGGAGCACAGGGATCAACGCACGTCCTAGCTTTCATTGCAATGACAATAATGCGCCTCGGCGTCCAGCGCTCCCGCCGATCGACCTCCGTTTCCACAACCACCGCAACGCCAGCCAGCTCGTCAGCACTGGCACCTCTTCCCCTCCCTCCCCATCCTCCTCCACTACCACCTCGTCCGCTACCTCCCCTTCCCATGCCTGCCTGTCCGCCTGCGCCGTCCTCACCAAAGCCAACGTCTCGCAGTTACCTTTCCTCTCCGCCCCCCCTCCCTGCCCCCGGACCTGCCACTGCCCTGCCTCTGCCTCCCTGGCCCGACCGAGCATTCCCCAAACGAGGAGGAGCCCAAACCGCCTGCCCGGCACCTACACAGGCAAGCTCGCCACCATCCACAACGTGCACAACAATGATCCCACCGCCGGGAGCGTCCAAAGTACCTCCTTGCCTCGCATTGCTCCCCTCTCCTTCACCCCTCCCCCGCCACCCTTCAGCAATTTCTATCCTGGACGCACACTCCAATTCTCTGCCTCCCTCCGCTCCTACCGCCTTCTCCACGGCGTCGGCGGCCTCGATCATTGCAAGCCTCAAACCCACGTGATGGCCGCCCAGGCCCTGTCCTCGAGCGGCGCCGCCCCCAAGGTCGCCGTCAAGATAGTCCAGCAAGCCTGGATCCAACGACATGCCTCCCCGTCCCCTCCCTTCTCTCCCCTGGCCGCGCCCTTCCTACCCAGTATCTGCAGGCCGGTGGGTGAGCTGGAGGCGGTGCGACTCCTCAGCTACAGCTCCGTTCACCCCAACGTGATGCCCGTGCTTGACGTCGAACAGGACAAGGTACGCGTTGCCCTCTTTTCCTCCTTCCCGCCCTCCCTCCCTCCTTCCCTCCCTTTCCCCTTCCCTCTGTCCCCCCATGTCTCTGGTAGCTTGCCTCTATGGAGTGAATTAGTCGCAACTCCGAGCAAACAAGCCACCCTGGGTGTTGGTTTCCCGATTGTACGTCTTGCCCCGCCCTTACGCAGTCTCGTCCTGCTCCTCTTCCCCTCCTCTTCCCACCACAGGACTACCTATACTTGGTCTTCCCCTACGCAGGGGGAGGGGAGCTCTTCGAGAAGGTTTCGGCCTATCCCCAGGGTCTCCCGGAATCAACGGCCCAACGGTTTTTCAAGGAAATGTGTGATGGTTTGGCGCATTTGAAAAGGCACAATTTGAGCCACGGGGACGTGAGTTTGGAAAATGTGATGCTGTACGATCCCGAGGAAGGAGGAAGGGGAGGAGGGAGGGAGGGAGCGACCGAGCGAGGGATGGGAAGGAGTGAAATGGGGATTTCGTGTGGACATGATGATTCGGCGGAGGGGGAGGAAGAAGAGGAGGAAGCACCCGAAGGAGGCTTAGACAGGCTCCACTGTCGCCTGATCGACTTGGAAATGGCCCGCTACGTGCCTACCTCCTCCTGCCCTTCCTCTCCTTCCTCCTACTACCCCATGGGCGGAAAGTCCAGCTACGCCCCCCCCGAGGCATTCTACAACCGCCCGTCTTCCCCCTACCCCCTGGACCCGTATGCCTGCGACATCTGGGCCCTGGGTATTTGTCTCTACATGCTCTGCACCGGCCGGCCGCTGTACCAAGGTCCTGAGGACGACGCTTTCCTCCTTCTGGCGTCGGGAGGGGCGCCGGGGCTCCTGAGCCATTACGAGGATGCGTACGGGTTGACTTTGCCGCGCTCGGTCCACAAGCTTTTGGCTGGCATGCTCTGCCCCGAAGGAGACCAGCGGATGACGCTGGAGGAGGTGATGAGGTGGAAGTGGGTGCAGGCGGGAGGGAGGGAGGAGGAGGAGGAGGAGGAGGAGTCGTCCTTGGCCGGCTGTTGGTCCCCAGCAACAACAGTGGAGGACGAGGGGGAGGACGGGGAAGAAGGTGTACGGTGCGAGGCATTGCCCATTTTGGTCTTCCCGTGACTGGGAGAGCAGGCGGGAGGGCGTCTAAGGAGTGAGAGGAAAGAGGGGAAAGCGACTGCTGGACTAGAGGGACCTGTAGGCTTAGGCCAGAAGTAATTCCTGGGTGCATGTATGACTGATTCGTGCCAAGGACGGGAATGCAGACAAAAGATAGACAAGATTCCGAGTGAAAAAAGTGCAATAGATGAAGGCCAGCGTAGACGCCGGAAAAATGTTTCCGATATAGATGTAAATTTAGCGTGATTAGATGTGTTGGCGAACTCAACATTTAGATTGTCTGATACTGTGTTTGATGGCGATGTATTCCGGCGACAGCTGGCAACTACACTAACGGGAGCAAAGGGAGGCGGATCACAGAGAAGAAAGGAAGGGATCAGGCGGGGGCGGAATGGAAGGAAGCTTGTAAGATACGTAGCAAGCAGAGCGATCGACCGGACGGGAGGAGTGGATGCAGTCCTCCCTGTGGAAGAAAGAAAACAAGTAAAAGGCAGCACGTTGCCTTCGAAAAATTGACATGGCAATTCTTTTCTTAGGCCGTTACAAAACCCACGCCCTCGCAAGATGCAGGGACGTGCCTCTCTGTGCTCAAGGTTTTTCCCCCTGCCCCTGATCAAGTCACCAGTGGCTTATTTAGATGCTCAAATGCTATGTACATACTGCACGCTCCTCGGACAAGCCCTTCCCGCACCACGGCTTTGCGTGATCATCCGCTCTTCTCCTGGCCTTGCCACTGCCCCTCCCCAGCCTCCCTCCCGGCCTCTCCCACGGCCTCTTTCCGCTCCTCCGCTCCCAACAGGCGGCGTCGGACCAGCTGGAGCTGAGCGCGCAATTGAAACAAGTCGCCCAAAAAGGGACGGACGTCGTCCAAGGGGGCTAAGCGCCGGTCGATCATCTCACCCACTGCCTCCAGGGTTCGATCCTCGGCGTCGTCGTAGAAGGAGGGGACGAGGATGCCGTTCTCGGGCTGAGGCACGAAGGACAAGGGGTTGTTGTCCACCAGCACCACCCGGGACAAATCCGCCTTCCCCAAGCCCGCTTGAATCCTCCTTAAGTCCTTCAGATACGTGCCGTGCACATGCCGACAGGCGGGTCGGTAGAAGCGGCCGTCCAACAGGGAACCGGTGGGGTCTAACCGGTCCAACACTGGTCGGGCATAGGTCTCTGTGGCGGCTGTGAACACAAAGACGTTGTACTCGTCGCTCAGGCGCTGCAGGAAGGCCTCTACACCGGGCCGGAGGTTAACTGGAAGGAATGAGGGAGGTAGGAAGCGAAGGAGGGAGGGAAGGAGGGAAGGAGGGAAGGTCAAACACCGCCTTTCATCGTCTCAAGCGACTGAAAGGGTGGCGCGCGACTAACACGCGATGACCGTCTTTTCAACGCCCCACGACCGCTCAGCCTATTCAACAGCATTCGTGCCGCTTCCGACAAGGCAAGGAAGAGACGTTTCCCCCCGTCAACCCACGTCCGAAACTTTCCCAAAAGATACGGAAGAAAAGACCGAATGCCCCCCCTACCAAAAAAAACTGAACCCTCCCCCCCCCCAGCGGGCCTTTCTAATCACGTTTCACCCACCTCGCACCCGCTCTCCCTCCTCCAACTCTAGCCAAAAATAATCCACACTCCGGTGGCGAACGTCTCCCAAGGCCTCCCCTACATCCGCCTGGTGCTGGTAGTGGAAAGACTCCGAGTCACCGTTGGGAAGAAGTTGATGGGCCAGCTCCCGGCCCCGTTCGTCCCGCATGTCCTCCTCGAAACGGCTGTGGAGCAGGCATTCGTCCATGTCCTGCAGGGAGAGAAGGAGGGAGGGAGGGCGGGAGGGGAGGAAGGGAGGGGGCGCAGGGGAGGGAGGGAGGGAGAAAGGAAGGAAGGGACATGGGAGGGAGGGAGTGAAACGTCGGTGAAGGGAGAAGGCGGGGGTTAAAAAGTGGTTACTTCTGGAGGGAAGGAAGGGTTGTGGAGGTACCCATCGTTTCCGATATCTCCCCTAGAACCCAATACAAGCCGTCACAAACACAGAGAAAAAAAGGTACACCCAGTAAGACGACGAGCGAGAGAGAAAGACCCGGTATGCACCGGACGCACGGAATACGCAGGCCTTGATTCCCCCCCTCCAAAGGCTTACCAGCACCACCGTCAACTTCTCTCGCTTCCTGTAGACGGAGAATCTCCGTCCCTGCCCCTGCATCCACTTGACAGCTCCGTATCTGCTACCACACACAAGGGACCGTCCACCGTGTCGAGCTGTGCCCGTGCGCGAGGCCTCCAGGGCCGGCGGTCGTTTTCCTGTGCTGTTTACCAGGCTGCTACTTCCGGCCTTCACGGCCTTCGTCATGCCACCCACGTAGCCAAAGCTTTGAGCGTGGAACAAGCGACTCCACTTGCTGAAAATGACTCCGGACAGGTCGCGCGAGGCAACTGCCTTCCCAAGTGCTGCTCTTCTGGTGCTTGCCATCCCTTGCCCCGGCCGGCCCACCATGCCCACCGCACATAGGGCGAGACTTGAACGCATGACTGCGGCTGGCTACAGAAAAGGTAAAACCTTCCCTTGTGGTTGCCTGTAATGTCCAGTGTACGGTTGGGGAATATCATGGAACAGATCTGCGACAATCGCGTGCAGGAAACCCCCACAACCGGGAGGAGCAACTCGGAACGATGTATATCCAGTGGCAGCAAGGAAGCAAGAAATCGTCGGATTTTCCATGTGGTGCATTTATATAAGCTTTGAGCCATCGACCGGCGCAAAACGAGGACAGCGGTGATATGCCGCGACCAAAGGGCAACGTCTCTTGATCCAGGGCCACTCTAGGCCCGCGGGAGGGACTCGTCGGGGAATATTTTTGACGCTCGACGTCGACTTTGGGTACGGGAGGCAACAAAAAAAGCGACTAGCGGGCGGCGTTCGCGCCAAAACGGAGGGTACCCCGCCCTATGGCCACATCGAAGGGCGGGCAGTAACACCTTGGACCCCAAAATGTGAGTGCGCGTATGTATTTGTGTTTTAATTGCACGTTGCCTGCACGTCGTGGAGGTGTGTGTCCAAAATGCCTTTTAATCACCACGATAGAGATGCCCCCAAAACAAAGCAACGCATGCGTCATTCCTTCCTTTTTCTGCCTGCAGCTAGTATAGACGAATGTCAAATGACACAACTCGCCCACAATTCTTAAAACAGCTAGGGCAGGACATGGATAGAGCGTCCTTTGAAGGGAACGACAGGCAGGAGGGTGGAATATCTGGTATTGTGCGGCATCATGAAAAAGATCAAGGAGGGGCCGGTCGAAGCCCGGCTCGAGCCCCCGGCCCACGGCACCAGCACCCCCCTCCTCAAATACCAGAGGCGCACGCATCGCAACAAGAGCAGGAGAAAATTCCATTCCTATCGCCAGAAAGCGGGGACTGCGACTGTCAGGTGCAGGGCTCGGAGGCAGAAGAACGGGAGGAGGACCCTGGTGAGGAGGACGAAGGAGCTGCGGTTCGTATCACGGTGAGTGTGACACATGCCGATTCTTATAGAGGCGGGTAGTAAGTATTACGAGAGATTATCCGTGGGGAACAGGTGCCAAGAAAGATAAGCGTGTAACCTCAACATGGACGGGCCGTGCCTGATAGGCCCCTCCTTCCTTTCATCACCCTGCCGCACTCCTCCTCGTTTGTCGCTCCTGCCTTTTTGAAAACCATCGCTCCCTTACCTCCTTTGCCTTCCTCCCTGCACCCTCCACTCTGCAGGTCACCGCGGACAATGTGTCCTACTACCTTCCTCCCCGCTGCCCTTCCCTTTCCTCCTGCCTCCCTGCTTTCCTCCTCCCTCCCTCCCACCGGACCCGAAGGTCAGTGACCGGGAAGCGACAGCTCACGGGCAAGGCGCTGCTGCAGAACGTGACGTTCCAAGTCACTCCTGGGCGCCTTACCTACATCATGGGTCCGTCTGGGGCGGGTAAAAGCACTTTGTTGAACCTCCTGGCTCGTCGATTGAAGCGGGGGTCGATGGGGGGGGGAGATCCGGGTATAACGGTAAGGGTAGAGTGGAGGGAGGAGGTGGGTGGCCGAAGGAAGACGAATCCTTTCGGAATAGGCATCAGAGGGGAGGGGAGATCCATTATGATACGAGGGGGAGGGAGGGAGGAGGGAGGGGGAGGGAGGAGATTGTGTGTGGAGGTGGGGGACGGAGGGAGGAGGGAGGGAGGGAG